AAGTACCTCTCAGAAGTGATGATGTTTTACCTCTTCCCATAGAGGCTGAAATGATCCGTGCATGCTTTAGACATAATGGTGCTGGTAATTTTGTTTTAGTGCTGTTATGTTTCATCTCAGAGCCACTTCACATTATACAATTAGGTTTTAGCACAGAACAATAGAGTTGAGCTTTATTAACAGCACAGTGCTTCCAGAGATTGATTGGAAAACAACTTTTTCTCAAGGCTGACCAAAGCACATTTTCTGTGGAGTATTTTCAATAGATTACTTCTTCACTCAGTAAAATGTTTTATGTGCATCCCTTGGGTTATTAAGAGAAGAAAATAAATACCCTGCAGCTTGACTTCATCACTATACTTTTTTGGGGGGTGGTACAGCTGTAACTGTAAATATTTCAGAAACTTCCTTGAAGCATTGGCCAGTGATTTGGGCGCGTGAGGCTTTTTTTTTTTTCTCTGCGGATGCTAATTATTCTAAGTTATACTGACTGCTACAGCAAAAGGCAAGCCAACGCAAACAACTTTTCATTGATTTTTCTCTGTTTTGCCGAGAAAGTCATGCATCAACCTAAACAGTTAGTCCAAAAGACTTTATTTACTTCCTGCTCGATGTCTCAGATGCTCTTTTACTGTTGTGGAGTTTTCTCTGCTGGTCAGGAACAATAACTGGAGCACACTTTCACGTGTATTCTCAAGAAACTCAAACTGTAAAAAAAACAGTCTTGTTTCACATTCACTTATAATAGTTTTAAAAATGTTTCTCAGCCGTTTCCACATGGTCAGTGTATGAAGAAAAATAACCTTTTAACAGTGAAGCATAAGGATGTGAAAGCAGTAAGGCCCGTTTCTTGCGTTCTGGATTTCCTCGACATGATCACACACAGGCGCGTGTGATCTTGTCAATAAGTGTTACGTGTCAGTTAGAGTCAGACATGCATTATTATTAGCCAGAAAGCCAGCTAACGCCCAGCGCAACCGTGCAGTGTGATTATACGTGCCCCCGCCGTTCCAAACAGATGCTCTTCACCAACACTGGCAGCATGGAAGGAAGCCTTAGGCAGGCAGCTATTTTGGGCAAATTAGTAAAGACAACATTTGCTCCCCCAGGTTGATGCTGCCACGCTGAGGTGCAGTGCGAGGCGACCGAGTGGAAAACACAGACTCAACCTGGGCAGCGCAGCCCTGCAGGCGTTTGTCATTTGGAGGCACTCCAGCTGACAGGTGGCTGCTGTGGCCCACTGCTCCCCATGCACTTTATTCAGGTAATTAGCCATTCATCTTAAGCGCGCAGGAAAAGGAAACAATCAGTGACGGTAAAACGAAGACGGCCTCACCGTGGACGTGTTATTTTTGCACGTATCTTTTACGGTTACGTCACTAAACTGGTCATCAAATAGACACCTGCTTTTGCTCCGTGTTGTATAACCTGCAGGGTGACACCAGATAAACAGCCATGTCCTCACTCACACTCTCATTAACTGTAGCATCTCTTCATTGTCCGATTGATCACGTTGGAGTATTTGTTTGACAGACAAGGCTACTGTCATTCCATCTAAAAATGTGTGTTAGTTGTTATGAATTTACACCTGGGAGGAGACTCTGTGGTACAATAGTAAATTATTTGTTGCTGGCCAAAAACAGAATCCTTGTAACTAGGACAAAAATTAACAACAACAAAAATAATGTTCCTGGACCTATTGCAAAGGAGACAATAACAATGTTATGTGAAAAGCAGACTGAAATCCTTGTTCAGTTATTTTGGCTGTATCTGTATTTGTTAGACGTTAAAATACACAAAGAACTCACTGCACAGTGCATACCTTTGTTTTTTAGCAACATCTTTAATAGACAAATAAACAGTGGTATGACAGGCTTTAAAAATGCATCCTTCAGTTATTTCCAAATAAGTAAATTGTTCAACTTTTTTTAAAATGTCACAATCCAGACAATTCTTAGTTATAAATTACTTTTTCATTGCCAAGATTCAGACTCAGTAGAAAGTAACCAACCGTGCTTTATGATATGTCAGACAGGTTCAGTAAAAAGTATTTTTGCTTGTGTCCAATCCCACACGTCACTTGTTAAATGTGAACACATGAGATCTTCAAAGCTCCTGATCATATCCCTTCAGTATGAATGATGGGATGACATCATAGTCGTCTCATAATATTTCAAACCCTGTAGCTTGAACTTTGGAGGAGCCCCAAAACACAATAATACAATCGGAAATGCTCATCCAGCCCCAAAATTCCCTGAAGGCATCTATGGTAGGTAAGCCCATTCCTCTAGGACCCCAGGCCAAAACTCAAAGGATCTATTGTGAACATATGGACACCACAACACACTCACATCTCTTTTGGCAGCATGAGAAGGACCACCATAAGGGAGATATTTGTACCATTATAGCTAATCGATGTATAGCTCATGCTGGTGGTGACACAGAAAAGCCCACGAGCAGGAATGATTTGCTTTTTTTTTTCATTTTCTGAGAGAACGGTTATTCACAGCATCTTTCTCTAAGCCACCAAAGAAGCAACAGTCAGCCCCAGTCCATTATCAGCTTGATTACCTTTTATCCTGTTATGCTGATATTTTGCACTATATTCTAATTATATCTAATTGGCCAGCCAAACCCCTGTAACCCTTCTAGTGCTACACGGAGGCGCTGACCTCTGCCAGCAAAGCTTTTCGAATCACTGGTGCTAATGAGCAGCTATTTTCCACCGCATTGTTCTAATAATGACCTCCCTCCATTCTCAAGTTTTTCGAATGTGTCTTTTTATGTTCGAAAACATGCTCACTATTTGATTGAGTTCCATTCCGTTATGGTTGACTCAGTTAGTGTTGATGGACAGTGAATGGGGAAAAGGATCCACGCAAATGGAAACCTGGCTTGTGCTGCTCCGTTGGGAAATCAGGTGGCCATTTGAATATTCAACCCTAGGGCCAAAGCTCTAATTCCTGTCTCCTCAACATGCCACACAAGGAGAAAGGAAGTGACAAAAAGGCAAGGAGCGCACAGACAAGAATTTGCATTTTAATGTGCCTGTCGGAATCACTTTGGATAAGAGCTGTTAGTATGAGAGACCACATAACCCCAAGGGGTCGCCACCAAACAACCTGTAATAGCCGCCAGCGAGAGAACAACATCCTGTGCAAGAGGAAGTTGCTGCTATTAGGAAAAAAGAATAAAGGTGTGTATGTGTGTGTGGGAGAAAGCCAAATAAGTTTGGACTCTGAATATAGATGAGGGCCCAGGTGAGTAAGGGAGAGGCAAAACATGCTGACAATATTTTTTACATGAAAAAGCCTCCAAATGAGTCTAGTTTAAGCCAACATAAACACACACACAACCTTGAGAGAACTTTCACTAGAAGCAGAGTTTGCAGTCATTGCCATTAATTGCAATGACAGTCTAATTACAAACATGCTTTTCCTGAAGGACAATTGAATTCTTCACATCAGGACAAACAGAACCCCGCAAACAATAACTGTGAGGAGTGGATGTTTTAAGATCCCAGAGCCTGGAAACAGATTATTATCATTTTGTTTTGTTTTGTTGTGCTTACTCTGCTGAAATAATTTTCCTCTCCGGACCAATAAAAAAAGAATACACATTGTTGCTTTTATATCAGCAGCTCCCGAGAGATGCGTTTGGACAGTTTGAAATCAGCAGCCTGGGAGTTAATCTTCACGCTGGGGCCACTCTGTTATAGCTATTTAATGTCCTCAATCACATTGTCGTTTGGCAGAAGGTGAGGGGAGTATCGGATGCCTTGATTAAATCAGTGCACTTTTATCTCACGTCGTTACAGAGTGTATCTTTCCATGTATCGATGAGTGTGCGCCAAGCCCCGACTGATGCAAGGACACTGAGTGAGTGACACTGTCTGGGGGCGGGTTGAGAGCAGACATCTAGGCAGCAAGGCCAGACATCAGGATGCTATTGAGAAACCGGAGTCATCCTAGAGAGAGACGTATTGTTGAAGGTGATTCACCTCTTTATTGAAGGTATTTTAAGGTCTTTTGGACAGAGCGGTTTAATGAGACTGTGATTTCTTTGGATCAAAGAGCAGCCTTAAACTTTATCATCTCATTAATGCCTTCAATATTCATTAAAAGTATATCACTGACTTAATTCAGCTTTGGAAAAATGTCTTGTTTTTATTGTGAAGCATATTATCTTAATTTCTGACAAATCTCCTATTCTAGGCAGTTCTTGCTCCATCTCAAAACTGTAAGGATGCTCTTTTGCACTTATATTTCATATCTAGAAGTTTTTACACTGATGCCCCAAATGCTCATGCTTCCCAACCAAAACAAAGGTTTGAATTCACGTTTCATACAGCCAAATAGATTGTGAATTACATTCTGTGTAAGTGAATCAAACAGGACCATGGTGTGCATGTGTTTATCGCAGTACTGTAGGGTCAGGATGAGAAAATCAATTTGAAACATAATTTATCAAAAAGATGGAGCCAATCAGGAGCTGCAAACTTGAGTTCTTTTGTATTGAATGTATGTGGCACTGATAGTCCTTTCAAGAGTATCATGTCTAAAAATCTGTGGTGCAGAAAGGTAAATGTTTCATGATTTACTGACTGACTGGTTTGTGGTAATTCATTTAAGTCCAGCAAAGTCAGCTAAATCAATCATTGTAAAAAGGCGTATTTGCTGACCTGTTCTCGAGTGATTTTGTACTTTTGTTAGACAACTGTCAACTGCTGGGTTAAAAGTACCATTTATCAGTGAAGCTGGAAAAGAGGAATGAGATTCCATCCATAAAAATCTGCATCTTTAAACATTGCTTCACACCTTTGTTCAACAACTTTGTTTCAAACTCATCCAGAACTTTCCTAACTTTCCTCATTACATTTACCATTTCCCATTATCTCTCATTTTCTACACTTCCAGTATCTTTCATAATTGTTATTTAGCCTCTCAGTCAGCTCATTCTGCTCTCTCAGGGCTTTCGCTGTCCACAAAACCCTTTACCCCTCTGTTGTAATCTGACCCAACCCTATGTGCCATTATTGCACATGCTCTCTCAGATCCGGTCCTAATGCAATTGGAAGAGCTTTTCCACTCTCACTGTTTCCCCATTTTTACTTAATAAGCCCCATCTCATTGTTTTTGGGCCACAAACAGAATTTCACTTCAATTGAATTCATGCCACTGCTATGAGTTTTGCAGAAACAACATCCTTCCGGCTCTCTTTTTGTGTAGTGTTCGCTTGTTCAAGGCAGCGGTCTGAAATGTCCAAGGAGAGAAATGAACATGAATTTGGAAAAACTTTGGACACAATTTTTGCTCTTTTTAATGACTGCAATTCCTATAGATGTAAATGCTCCATTCAAATTTAATTTGGAAATGATAAGAGATGTACACGCTCCACTGTCAGAGCAGTGGCTGAAACAAAGATCTCACATGTGTTAATGCTCTTTTATTTCCCTTCACACAGGGTAAACCAGTTCAAGATGAACAATCGACACAATCAGAGTAAGTGAAATAATATGACACAACTTTCAGGCTTCATCAGGCACAGTTCAGTGGGGACTTTTAATACAGACTTCATCTGGAGGTGATGGACCCACACTGTGCTCCTGAACACTCTTTTCCACAGGGGAAACACTTCCTGTGGGTTTAACATGCAGCTGCTGGCTCACTTGATTACCTGCAGTTCTCTCCACTCCTGTCTTGCTGTTGCCCTTCGCTCTTTTCCTCCATTGTTGGTTTCCATCCTTGTTTGACCTTATTGATTTGCCCCAAACGGAGCTCCCGCTCGCTTGCCTATTGTTATTTATTTGCACAGTTTAATCTGCAACACTGCTTTGACCCATCGTCCCAACAATGAAGTGGAAAAAAGCTTCAGCGGCTGAATGAAAAAGCATGGCAATTGGCTCCCAATTGTTCTGGAGTGCGAAAACCGTCCATCTTACAAGGTTAGCCAAGACAAAATACTCCTTCTTTTTCAGGCTTTAGCAAACGCAAACGCTTCAGAAATAAAGGACTATTTCATTTTTATTTTTATTCTTTATATAACAAATACAACAATCTTATGCTGAGTTAGACTAAATTAGATTACATTTTCTTACAATTTTAGAACAATAAATACAAGATAAAGAAATGCATCTTAGCATTTAATCAGAAGTGCAAAAAGTAATTTTTTCTCCTGGTATTAGTTTTTCATTGTAGCTCACAGACAAGTCACAGCACACTTTAAAAGAGCAAAGTGGAAGACTTTCTACATGCATGAAGAGAAATCAAGGTGTTGGGACCAAATTAGCCTTAAGAAAGCTACCTATCAGGGAGACTAATTGGGGGAAAAGGGCCATAAGTTTCAAGGGAGGATAATAAGTGTGGGTACTAGAGCAATGGAATTAGGTCATACAGTCTGATGAGTCCAGATTTTCCCAATTTCAGAATGAAGGGTACATCAGGGTGAGAGGAGTGGCTGATGAAGTGCTGCACCTATTATGCCAAGCGACAACTGTACAAGAATAATCTGAGGTTGCTTCAGTTGGTCAAGACAATGGTCATTTTTACCTGATGTCATACAATGTCAGGATTGACAATGCTCAAATGTCCAGATCAGATTTGGGAACTTGAGACATCACTTTCAGAAGGTGGCGACCACCCTCTCCAGACCGCAAACTCCATAAGAAAAACTATGTTGGAAGACTTCAGAAAGTGCTTTGACTTTATGAGATCATCCTAAAAATGAATGAGAATGATGGAAATGAACGCCGTGACCTTTCTTAGGATTAAAGAAATCACACCATTGTAAATCTGTGTTGTGATCAAAGTTAAAGGTGGTCCACCCATATATTGCAGTGGTTAAGAACTAAAGCCAATGTTGATCTCATAATCCATACAACTACTGTTAGTTTGAGGTTTTACTCGAGGGGTAAGTCTGGATGATTTCATCGTGTTAGACACTGTGTGGGAAAACAATTCAGCAATTCCTTATTATAACAAATCTATTGCTGCAAGCATGATTTAAATAAGCAGAGGGAAAAAATCAGGCAGTGTCTAATGACTTGCTGTAAATTAAATTTGAAAAAAGTCAAGATAAATGTGTTAAACTCCCACAAAAAACACAATTAAATAGAGATCCCCTTAAATCTTAAAATAGCTTTACATGTTCTTGCCAATGTGGTTAAAAGTGGTGTTGTGTTTTGCAAAATAAGAAAGTGAAAAATCTCCTTCCACCCTTTTCCGACCTCATGACATTTTCCAGCGAGGTCAAAAACTAAAAACAAGAAAAGAAC